AGCAAATATAGTGTGTAGAGTATTTAATAGTGTAAGGAACTTTACCTTGCTGTAAAAGGATGCAAGAGAAAGTAAGTTATAGTCCTTAATGACTCTTTACAGACCTTGATGAGTACTAATATAGAAGTCCAATTAAATAGACATTCATTGATGACATCTTATTAAATAGGTGCTGGGAGGCCGGGCGCGGTGGCTCACACCTGTAATCCCAGCACTTTGGGAGTCCGAGGCGGGTGGATCACGAGGTCAAGAGATCGAGAGCATCCTGGTCAACATGGTGAAACCCTGTCTCTACTGAAAATAAAAAAAAAAATAGCTGGGCACGGTGGCACATGCCTGTAATCCCAGCTACTCAGGAGGCTGAGGCAGGAGAATTGCCTGAACCCAGGAGGCGGAGGTTGCAGTGAGCCTAGATCGCGCCATTGCACTCCAGCCTGGGTAACAAGCGCGAAACTCCATCTCAAAAAAAAAAAAAAGGTGCTGGGAAGGAAAATATGAATAAAACAAAATCTATCTCTCAATCTGGTAAGAGAAACAAACACAGACACAACTACATCACAGTGTGATTAGGATAATAAATAGATGAATGGGCAAAAGAACTCAACAAGCAAAGATATGAAAATGATTAATCCTGCCTAGTGATTCCAAGAATGCTATACAAAAAACTAAATTGCTGGTTTAGCTTTGAAAGATGAGGATAATCTTCCATATAGGAAAGGAAGAGAAAGGGTATTTTAGCCATTGGAAACACGTGCCAAATAAGTACAAAGGCAAGAAATAAAGTAATACGTTTAGAAAATGATTATGTTGGTATATATAGAGCACAGGGAAAGGTAGGTGATTTGGCCAAAAGACAAAAAAGAGAGACATAAAAAAGAAACAAGAATTGCTTAAAAATTCTATTTCTTAAGTGTTTCTAGAGTGCAAACAGAGGCTGAGAAAAAGTAATTAAATTTGGTTAGACACGGGACTTACACACACATAGCTTTTAGCTAGAATTTTTTCTTCTAAACTATCACTAAGAGCATTTTCTCCATTTTTTAAATTGTTTTGTTATAATAAATTATATAATATGCAATTGTTACAAAATGCAGGTTAGCAAAATAAAAATACTATGAATTTAAATCACAACAACCATTGAAAGAGAATCAATGTTAACATCTGAGATACAGCCTTTGAGTTTTTGCCCCTGCTAATATAAATATGTATAAGGACACGTGTTATGTGTATGTTTAAAAAAGTGAAATTGCATTCTACCTTCTACAATCTTTTTAAACCTCATAATACGTCACTTAGTGGTTGCCTTTGGATTGAAGTTGCTTAGACTTCCTGTAATCCTTAGATTAGAAATTGATTGCTATTTTCTGTTTTCTGCATCTATCATCATTTCATGTTTCATTTTGCTCATTACCTTTGCTTTCTCGAGTTTGATATCTAAAACATTTATTTGTTTCTTAATGTCCACATCAATTTTCTATTTATTCAATCTTCTCATTTCCTTACCCACCAATTCTTATATTTCAGGTAAATACAAAGACACTTTCTATAGTTTTTGTTTTTCTGAATATATCTTTTACAAAAGTATTTTCTCTCAGCATAATTACATTATGTTTTAATTTTTAAGTACATTCTTTGTTTGAATAACGGGAAATAGCTCCCCAAGCAAGACATTGCCAGGAGATCAACTGAAGATATTGCCTTTACTTTCTATAACAGAATCCTTCTCTCCATGCAGTCATTCTGTTGTCCAAGCTTATCTATAGCAAACCTGAAAGGCAAAACCTGTGGCCCTAGTTTTATCAGAAATGGGATTGAAGTGCTCCCATCCTATTTCTAGAGGCTGATTTTATAAACTTGATTTTAGAATTTTACATGAATGTCATGGTTTCATTTAGTTTACTGAGAGTATTTAAATGTCCTGGTTTCATTTAATTTACTGAGAGTATTTCAGCCTTCATTTTGTTGTCTAATATCGTCTTTATTCCCCACAGTTTCCCATAATCCAAAAATCTGCTCAAAGTGCTTTTTTCCTCAAAAAGTAGAAATTCTGTTTTATATCTTAATAGAAAGAACCCTTTTTACATATAATGCTTGTGTTCTAGCAACTTTATGTTTTTTGAGGATAAGCACTGTATCTATCTTACTTAAGATCTACTCCCAGCACCAGATGTATTTACCACTGATGGCTTACAATACATTGTAGAATGAATAACCAGTAGTACAGTCATTATCATTCTATATAGTATCCAAAGGTGATAAGGGTGAAACTGGGTTGAGGTGAAAGATTTTAAATTGCTTTCTGCTACATATTTTGTGGCCCATAATAACATGACATAATCTAAAGAATAAAGGATGCAAATGGAATCCTTATACATTTGTGGCAGAAGTATGTATAAGGATTCTTTATGGAACAAATTCTTTAGAACAGTGTTTTGCAAAATCTCGTAAGGCTAGACATACATATTCCCTATTATATAACCTACTTATTCTCAGTCACTTGGTTTATACCCAAGTGATATGAGTCCATTAAAATATATCTGCCAAAAGAAACATTCAAAAATGTTTTTAGCAGTGTTATTCATAACAGCCTCAAACTGAAAACAACTCAACACTCATATGATATAGTATATTCAGACAGTAGAATGGTATATGTCAATGAAAAAGAATAAACAGTTGATACACACAGCAACTGGAATTAATTTCACAGACAACAGTTATAAAAAAATAAGATACAAAAGAACATATGCTGCATATTATATTTAAATGAACCTCAAAAACACACAACACTGTTACATAGTTGAGGAAGCCACTGGTATGAGAATTGTTTTTGATCTGGATGGTAATTACATAGGAAAATTCATGTGTATATATCTAAAGAGTCATAAAGATATATACTTAAGATTTGTACATTTTACTATATGCAAGTAGATCTCAATTTTAAGAGCTAAAATGCAAAATAAAGACATTTTCAAGCAAAACAAAACAAAGAGAGGGATTGTAGTCAGGTAGAGCTAGTTATGATTTTTGAAAGCAGAACTGAGATCACAACACTTACTTTCCAGGGCTAATGTGATGATTAGAGATAATACATGTGCAGTATCTAGGGACAGTCTGGCATTTTTTATGAGATCAATAATTTGCAGATTCACTTACATCTTCTAGGCCAGTGCTTCTCAAGCTTTAATTTGCATACAAATCACATGGACATATTGTTATACAATGCAGGCTCTGATCCTGTAGGTCTGTGATGAGGCCTGAAATTCTGCATTTTTGAAAAGCTCCCAGGTAATTCCAGTGTTGCTTGTCCATGGGCCATACTTTGAGTAGCAATGGGAAAGAATGAGGATGAATGGGGTTTTTCAGAAGTGGAACGGTCTTGGACAAGTTCAAATTTTAAAAGGCCTTTCTGCTGTCAAATCACGAACTAGAATAAAGGAGAAGAAAATGAAAGATCCAAGAGACAGATGATATATTCCGAAATGAGGAAAGAAGGCAGGAGACTGGAAAGTGGGAAAACAGAAATGTTCTGCAGAATCATAAAGATGGCATTTCATTGAACTTCAGGAGTGATGATAGAAAATCATCAAAAACAGCTTGAGGTTTTTATATTCAATGATCAAATAGATAAATATGCTTTAGTTTTAATTATTTTATTGGCTCCTTTTGATTAAAACTGAGCTCAGGGGGAGTGGATATTACACAAAAAACATGATTTTTCCCCCTGGGTCATGCTAACAGAGAATGAATCAAGGGCAAGTAGTAAAAATAATTGTATCAAAGAGGAAGCTGTAAGATGAGAGGTTATATGAGTCAGCTTTGCTGCAGTAACAAATAACCCCAAAAGTCACACTGGGGGCTCAAAAAAAAGGCTGGTTGTGTCTCTACTTGGCCCTGCTTGGCTGTGTTCTGCATGCTTTCCATTCAGGATCTAGATAAAGGAACACGCTCTATTAGCAGCAGGAGAGCCGCAGGCCACATAGGGTGGATCTTAAGGCTTCTGCTGGGTTGCAGTGCGCTTGATGCCTGTTGCAGTGCCATTTCCTAAACAAGTCACGTGAACAGGCCTGTGTCAATGAGACGGGAACATACAATTGTCCCACAAGGGCCGCTGCATGTCACACGGTCACAGACAGGGAAATACAATCCTCTTACAGGAAGAGGTAGAGAAAAGTCAAAAGCATAATGCTACCACAGGAATGGAATCAGGCAGAGTTCAAGCTCCTCTTAGTCTGCTTTGCACCTATATATAACAAACCCTAGCTCTAGAATATATTTTTTTAATTCCATAGTTAAATATCCTCAACACAGAATCTTTCATTCGCCCAAGGCAAAATGGACAGATTTCAATTTCCTTTCTTAATAAGCACTTAAATGTTTTAAATTCTACAGGGGTGGGTAGGAGAAGCCAAGGGGTGTGGAAGAAAAACCATTACTAGTTAATCAGCCTAGGAGTAATCAAGAGTTGGCTGAATTTTCTCCTGACCTTTGCTGTATTTAGTATGTGTCTGAAGAGAATGATTGAGCTGTTAAGCCCCCCAGTTACCATGTGCTCACATTACTCAAGTTTCTATGCTCTGTTGATAGAAAAACGAAAGTGTAAGTAGTGTTTTCATTTTCTAGGAATCCTCACTATGGGAAATATTAATATCTTAAAAGGAAATTAAATGTAGTTAACCCATATAGCCTGGAAATTATTGTAAAATTTGAAAATTTCCAGGTTGTGTCCTCCATCCATATCCTGTGCATTGATAAGCTAAAGAAGTATGCCAGTTTCAAGAAAAAAAAAAAAGATGTTTTGCCTAAATTATCAGGATATTTCTCAGAAAATAATTGATATATATCAGACGATTGGAAAAATGGTAACTTTACCCTCCACTTTCGTTCCCAAACTGTTCTCTGTCTCTCCATGCATGATTAAAGCATGGTTTCTGAAGGTCGGGAATAAAGCTGTGGTCATGCATATCACATTTCTTTTCTCTTTCAATCACTATTTTTAACAGGGCAAGAGAATGATTCAACGAAGAATGAAATAAAAATTGAAACAGAGTCCCAGAACTCATATATGGAAACGGAAGGTACTGAAACCCAAATATATTATCAGAGAATGAGATGAAACTGTGAACCATGACATCTATATATACCTGTGTATGTGAGCGGTATGCGTGTGTGTTTTAGACAGTGATTACTAGAGGACAGCAATAATGCTCAACTTGGTGAACCTACTGAAACTTGAAGGGGGAAAAAAGAACTCTATCCTTCTATGCCACAGTCACTGTATTCTCGCAACGATTCCAACTAAAACATCCCTGAGTGTCCTTCTGTCTCATTCTATTTAGAACTTTCATCAAACCAAGAAGATGCCGTGATTGTGGAGCAACCTGAAGTGATTCCACTAACAGATGACCAAGAAGAAAATGAAGGTGAAAAAGGTAGGACTGCTCTTCAGTTAACCCGTCAAGAATAGAGAGTTTCTTTGGATTCCTGCCTAGAATTCAACCATCAAAGTTATCCTCATGCAATTATAGCTTGTAAAGGGGGAAAATGAACATTTCCTTTACCCCAAATCTGCTTTTGATAGTAGAATAAAATCTAGAAGTAGCAGAAGAAGACGCTTGGAACAAGTAGTTTTAGCAACTACTCGTAGCATAAGGATGTTTTTGTTATTCATTTAGATTCCGTTTAAATTTCTAAAATTATAGTATTGAGAAAGCCTGTAAGAAATCAAAATGATGGACTAGAGTGATAAAGTTCTCAGAAAATCTGAAGTGGCTTTAAAGCAAATAGACTGGCCTTTTTGTATTGATTTCATCTGTCTTCCTTCCTATAGTAGCAATTAAAGAAACAATTTGTGTAAAATATGCGTGTTATAGAAACCTCAATTGCAGGCTTTGTTTGCTAATATTAGGATGCAATAATATTGAATACTGTTTTTTAAAAAGAAGTGAGCATTATGATTTCTGAAAACTCAGGAGGAATGAACGTGCCGTAAATATTGAAGCAGCATTTGGGCCAAGAAACCAATGTATTGGAGGGAAGATAGATACTTTTGAAAAATATTTTCTTAAAAACTATTCTCAGAGTAACTTAGTGTTAACTGAAGAAAGAATTCGATTTTTAAATATAAAGCGATTTCTTAAAAGAAGCTCATAAAATAATCTTTGTTACAGTATCTCATAATTCATACTACTCTTAAAGAAATATGTATTTTCAAAGCTGTTGCAGAGTAATAACTTGACAGGCCTTGTTTATAGAACACGGTGATCAATTTTGTTTCCAAATTAAAATGCAACATGATCTCAATTGTAAAATCAGGTCAATAGCAACTACAGCTTCCAAATTATGAACTCTTCTTGGCAGGGGCATTGACACAGTTTACTTGCTAAACCATGTGAGCGATTTGGACACTTAAAATTTTGACTGCGTTTACAGCACAATATTTTTTCATGCCTATGCCTCTAATAACCTTTTCTTTATTGCAAAGTTCAGTTCAGACTCATGACTCCATGTTCCTGTCAAGTCGAATAAAGGGTATATTTGAAGTTATTTCATGTCTAACATTGATAACTGAGAATTGATATAACCCTTACTCAGAATCACATACATGAGATTGCTCTCTTCAACTGCAGTTTTAAAATGTAAAATAGACAATGCTGTGCATGTTACCTTAATTTCTCTGTAGCAGAAACTGTTTGCTTTGTTCATTGTGCCTCAAGAAACACAAATGGTAAGGAGGACCATCAAACAGCCGTACGTTTTCCTCTTTTTGACCTGACCTATAAGCAAAAAGCTGGCATTCCGCACACATTGACATGTTTCCCTTCTCCCAGAGCCATCCCAAGCATTGAACACCACTCTGAGGCCTGAAGGATTAAATACCCTCATTTCCTCTCTTCCTTGTAAATATGTCAATCTTTTTCTGATAACGGTGAAACGGCATGTAGGAAAAAAGCAAGGTCAAGTTCTGCTACTTGCTTTGAGCAACTGTGAGGTTGAATTTCTTTGTTAAAATTTAATTTTTCACTGTACGATGACTACCAATGCTGGTAATCTTGAAATAACCACATTTTCCCTTCCCGTCTTCAGCATAGATATTCCACTTGGCCCTGCCTTGAATATTTCTGGGGTTTAAATTTGAAATAATTTTAAATGCATCCCCTTTGTCATCTTATACTTGGCATCAAAGTAAGAGTGAAAAGCTATTTTGTTCTGTACATGAAAAGTAGTCATAGGAAAAGGAGGTGATGCAGACTCCCGGCGCTCTGCAGTAGCTCTGCTCCACCACTGACAAGCTGGATGACCTTGGACAAGTTACTTAACCTGTCTCTTCAGGTTCATCTGAAAGATGATGATGGCAAAAGTACCTGTCACATACAGTTATGGTGAAAATTTAATGAGTAACATGTGCAAAGCAATTAAAACCACGTGTGACACATAGAATGCACTCCATATTTAGTATTTATCATAATTTGATAAATTGGTGACAAAGTCAAGAAAATCCACATGTGATTTCCCCAAGCCCATTCATTGTTCTTCTTAACTATTTTGAATCTGTAGAAAGTCACATATTCTACCTTATCCTTCAACAACAACTGGCTCTACCCACATGATTGGCAGCACCATTTCACGAAGGCCGTTTTGATATGGCTCTAAATGCTTTACATTGCTACATATTTTATTCTAAAGAGATTGAACAACTAATGGAAGGAAGCCAGGTGAAAGGCATTTCTCTCCATTCATAAACACTTCCTTGTTTGTCAGTATCTCAATCTTCTACTTGAGAAATAAATAAAACCATAATTTCTATTTTCTAAACAAGATACCACTGAGCTGTTGGTAGATCCACGAAAGAAACGTAGTAAATAAATTCAAAGCAGCAAATTCTTTTTACTTTCTTTTGATTTAGTTATAAACAGTCTTGTTTGAAAACGTTTTAGGACTATAGCTCCAGATTTTGTGTTCACAAAAGAGTCTCTTGATCCAAAGTTGTACATATGTATTAAGAATTATCTCTAAAAATCCAATGAGTATTTTATTGCATTTGTAAAGATATTCCTTATAGCTTCAGAAGTATTAGTTCTCTTTTATTGTAAGAATCCTTTTAAGGAGGCAGAAAGTGGTTCCTTTAAAAAAAAAAATTCCAGACCAGGAAAAATACATAATGTTTTTCTGTCTTTTTGTAGCATTTTATAAGATTAGAAAATGTAGATAATCTTCAGGATACATCTTCTATGGCTCCCAGGTGTATGGGCACAGATGTTGCAACATTAAGTTTTGAAGTTAGTTCTACTAAAATATGGATTTTGAAAAGAAGGAAAAATATTCAGCAGAAGTTCATGCTGATAAAATTACACAATAGCACAATGGACATGTCCCTGGGAGACCTGAAATACAAAAATTTCAACAGGCATAAAGTGAGGTTTCACATATGGCAGCTTTTCTGATATAGCCACATTGCCTCTTCCTAAATGAGCCCAGTTTTATGATTTCCCAGCAGGACCTGCAACACACATGAAATCCAGTAGAATAGCATCATTTAGGTTAATAACCAAATAGGAAAGTAGTATTATAGAAGATCTCCTCTGAAAAGGATCAAGTTTTAGTATAAAATATAAAACCAGCATTAAAACATCTTTCTTACATTTGTTATTGCTAGGTGAATTTAGAAAAATTTGGCATAAAAAACTTCTTACCTATATCAACATTGTGTTGCTATTATTTCACATTTTCATATGTTTTATTATGATATATGTTGGATTTTTTTCTCTAAATGTTACACGGAATGAATACCTTTGGTATCAGTAATTTTTTATATCAATTAATAAGTAAAGTATGGAATAGTAATCCTTTGTCTGTTTACCTAAGGTAGAGTAAAATGTTGACAGAGACCTAAAGTATATTATGGTTTAATATTTTCTTAGAAAAAGTGCATATGGACAGGCATGCAAGTAAAGAATAAAGTGTAAGCCAGGGACAGAGTAAAGTATCATGCCCGTGGGCTCATGTTTTGATCCAAGCATGGTCTGACCAGTATGACCTTGAGACAAAGTGTACAGGGAGCCATGGCTTCTAGCCCTGGCTGTGTGATTCCTGGCAATCCTTTAACTGTGTACATGTGTAAAATTAGATTATACAATTTTACAATTGTAAAATGTCAATTATACAATTATACAATTGTAATTGAACAATGCAATTACAAGGTTCACCACCACCTGGACACCTCTCACCCCTTCACTCCATGCAGTACCACAAACTAAAGGATGTGTGTAGGTTTAAGTGAATGTTAGGTTCAAAACTTGTAATACCAGCAACGTATTTCTCAGAATATATCCTCATGTTAAGCAATGCATGACTGTATACTGGTTATGAATTTTGGCTATATAAATATACACGTGGATGCATAATATACACACAGATCCATAATATACACACATTCAGGAAAACTGAATATATCCATAAAAACTCACACAATTCAGGAGCCCTGAAAATTTCCAAACTGGCTAATACCATAGAGGACAATTCCACCCATTCTTTCTTTCTGTCAGACAAAATTCATTTTCATTGATATGAACAAATCTCATTTTCATTACTACAAGTTTTCTACATGTTACCTTCTACCTCTACAGATGTGTAAAATAGTCTAGTGAATAGAAAGCTGGTCAAGGAAATACGCCTTCACAGAACCAGATAATCCCAGAGAGTCTGGAGGGCAACACCCAGCCTTCCACCACAGTGACACCCTCCTGGGTCTCTTTTATCTATTGTCAAGTCTTAGACAGCTTTTCTTGACGGTATTCTGAAGGCAAAGCTGCCCTTTTAACCTGTTTACCACCTCACTTATTTGTTATCGTTCACTATTTGATAGACAGTGATAAAATACTAAGGTAGTATCAGAGTAGGGCAGTAGCTTCAGAGTAGGGCAGTAGCTTCCAATTTCATCTGAGGTTGTAGTTTACTTGCTATTGTTTTATGGCAAGAACTGCTATTCTACTTTTTTTTTTTTTTGAGACGGAGTTTCGCTCTTGTTACCCAGGCTGGAGTGCAATGGCGCCATCTCGGCTCACCGCAACCTCCGCCTCCTGGGTTCAGGCAATTCTCCTGCCTCAGCCTCCTGGGTAGCTGGGATTACAGGCACATACCACCATGCCCAGCTAATTTTTTGTACTTTTAGTAGAGACGGGGATTCACCATGTTGACCAGGATGGTCTCGATCTCTTGACCTCGTGATCCACCCACCTCGGCCTCCCAAAGTGCTGGGATTACAGGCTTGAGCCACCGTGCCTGGCCTCTAAATCGCTTTCAATCAAAGTCATCAATATTTGTTTTATGACACAATACTGTCCTCTGCCAGTATCTTTGATGGTTCATAACTTAAGAGAATTTATAAAAAATTTACAAACTCATTGGCTTTTAAGTCTCTTAAGTCTATCTT